ATTAGAGTCAGTAGTGTTATGTGCTTATTTATGTCTATGCCTCTTTTATGAAGGTGCATAATTGAAATGTGTTCCCATGCTTGGTTTGTTTATATCACTGATAAATTTGAGGAGAATGTGAAAGCAGTTATTCTATATGAGTAGAAGTTTTTGTGTGTTTTGAGGAAGAGTACATTTGAGCTGATGGTGTAGAGACAGATGCCCTAAGACGGACAAGAGAAAGAATTAAGACAGATAAACACTGTGTGTGATTCTGGAAGAAAACTGTAGAAAAGAAACCTTTATATCAAGTGACAACAGATGAAGTGGTGATGCAGTGAACAAAGGATTTTTAGTTAGTTAGTTTTAATCTGTGCTCAGGGAAAGGCAACCTATAGATCTTAAAGAAAAGTGCAGAAGAGGTCTTAGCCCTTAACACCCATTTTTAGTTTGAACTGCTGCAACTTGCAGTAGTAAGCCTTTGGTTTTGCTGCTTGATCCTAAGTAATGCTGTGGCATAGGTCAGTCTTTCTATTAAATGAGCTGAACCATACACTTGGTTTAAGATTTTATCTTGCTTATTTACAGCAATGACAGATGGGTATGGATTGGAATGAATAAGAGGAGTCCAGATTCTCTGGGAACCTGGCAATGGAGTGATGATAAACCTGTAAGTTAAATTTTAACCAGGAAACATCATGTCCTGATTTGTTTCAGCTTGGACTGTATTGAAAGTAAATTTGTAAATATTGTAGTTAAATATGGTAGATCCTCCAGCAGGTGAATAATTCAAAACAAGATTGTGCACTTAAGAGCTGCCATCCAGGCAGATTTCCAATTGAAAACTTAATCTTTAATAAGTTTGACCTCATTTCTGTCTCTATTGCATTAAAATATTTTAACAGAACTATAGTAGGAAACAAGATGTCTTCAATGCCACAACAGAGGGGAGGGTTTATTGATTTATCTCCTTGATAAGTCAGGCTGCTCCAAAGTTACCTTCCTCACTACAGTTGATATATTTGCCTGAAATTGTGAGTTTCCCCCAGGTAACGGCTACACAGACTCAAAACTGATCCAGTAACTGCCATTTAGCACACATTTTAATAGTGATAAATGTAGTGGGATCCTAGGTTTGAGTGGTTATCTCTGGGGATAAATGTTGCAAAAATAGCCATAAAGTAATGATTCTTTCATCCTGTCCATCCAACAGGTAACTAGTGTTGTTATGCCACTTGATTATCTGGAAGATGAATATGATACAAGAGACTGTGCTGCATTAAAGGTTAGTTTCAAGGATTTTTATAACAGTGTGCATATTTTTACATGGAAGTACTGGGAAAAAATACCTTTGCCAGCTATATATTGAATTTATCTTGACTGTCTACATGCTTTCTTTGCATAGTGAAAGAGTTGCTAGCGTTCACTTTATCAGTATTATAAATTTTCCCTTCAAGCAGTTTTTTATGAACCAAGTGCTGTGCTAATGATAACCTTTCGTAAGACTTCTTTAGAACTACAAAATATTTTAATAACAATGCTATTATTCTTTCTTGCATAATGCTGTATTATGTATCTCTTGTATATTACGCTTAAGAATGTAAAGTGGAGTCTAAAACAAAAAAGCAAACTGAGCCATACCAGTAACTTTTTCTGAACTGCTAATTAAGAAAATGTTTGCAACCTAAAGTAAGTGAATGCAGTAGCTAGGATATAGTGTTTGTGTTTATCGTGTATTTACTTGTAAAATAGACTGTAAGTGCAGTGTCAGTTTCTAATAAAAATATCAGGCCTTCTGGTTAATTCCTAATTACCTTCTTCATTGCTTAATTTGGGCTTGATAGCTTGAATTTTAAAATGGCCTTTAACTTTTCTGAAACATCATATGACTTTTTATAAGATTATTCCAATACCATACTTTCTTTTAACTTAATTAGAATCACCTCTGCTGTTAGGATTTACTGGAAGAGAGGGTAGTTGCATCCCCTTGCTTCTGTTCACAGCGATTTCCCCTCGTTCTCTTCTGCTGTCTTCATGACACCAGTCCAAGAAGCTGTCAGCGTTAAGCTACTGAAAATTCTAGTCAAGAGAAGAGCAGTTTGAAGGGAACACTGAATACAGTAGCCTCCCTCACCTACCTGTTAGGTATAGACACGTTCTTTCACTAAGTGGTAGAAAATAGTCCTTAGTGGAGAGATCACCAAAAGCGATATCAGATTTTAAGCTTTATTGTAGGAAATAAATAGGAAAGATTATTTCTCTGCTAGTTCAGATGGTTTCTTCTTTTGAGCAGACATGGGAATAATTTCAGGGCAACGAGTAGCAACAGATAATTCAAAAATAAGCATCGACGAGACTTTGTGTGCTACAAGAACCCCCAAAGAAACAACATTGCAAGAAGAGACTTTTGTGTGTAGATTGACCTTAAGCCCTTTACCTAATCGCTTCACAAGCTTGGCTAGCATGGAGAGTTATAGTTGAAGTGTTAAAGTTGTACCTGCTCATTTTTTGCCAGATAAGTTGTGGAGCTAACACCACAGTGAAATACACTGACTTTGCCAAAGTACCTTTTAAGTACAGTTTCATTTCACATTTCAGAGGCCTATGCCATACTAACTCAGTTCTCTGTTTCTGCTTGTATACAGACTTCTCAGTTTTCACGGAGATCATTTTGGAGATTTTATTTCCACGAAGGCAGAGACCTGGAATTTTACTTTAAGCCTTTTGATTGTGAAGCTAAACTTGAATGGGTCTGTCAGATAACAAAAGGTAAACTGCAGTTACATCCATTTATTCAAATGAAAGAGTTTGTTATTTATTTCCACTGAGTTGTCCTTATTGCTGAGTTACAGAAACTGCAAGCACTATCATTTCCTCTCTGAACTGTTAAGAGGACAGTATGTGAGATGTCTGGCCTCTGTCACAAACAGATGTGCGCTTAGAATCTTCAAAGCTATATCAGAAAATGGCCATGAACAAAATAACAGCTCCCATATTCTTTCTTGTCTACAAACTGAGAAGTGGCTTCTTATTAGGCGAGGTGATAAAAGCTGCTGAGTTGCAGCATTTGTGGACTTCGCTTAATTTTTCGTAGTGATATTTATAATTATATGAACACAGACATCTTGTGTGTACAGTTTGCTTTAGCCTTAGGTGAATCAGCTGCCTTCTGGTAAAACTGGTGTACTAGCTCATCATTGCCATGAGACAAAGGGGTGGGAATACAAAATAATGGCTGGCGTATCTGCACAGATCCAGATTTTTCCGTGCAGTATGAAAAGTGCTGTAATCTAGTAAACTTTTATGCTTTAGTTGTTTATTAAAAGGCAATTTTATTAAACTTTCTTGTTGTGGGGAGATATTGGTAGATACACTACTTTAATGCTTGTGTTCTGCTTGAGAGAAAAAGCCCACAGATGTTTAAGGCTGAGGTATACAAAACTCCCATTAGTTTTACAGCAGCTTATTTTGAACTGTCAAACCTAGGTATGATTTTCTTCTTCTGTTTTTTTGATCATGCATACTGAGAAGCAAAAGTATAATCCATCACTTCCATTATTGGTGACCAGTCTTGTTAGAAGGTGAACTTGAAGTGACTATTACTTTTTTTCCTCTGGACAGGTAGCACTCCAACAACACCTGAGTGGTATATACCAGGTAAATGTTTTTTTAATGTATTCTTCTGCTATGTGTATACAGTTGTTAAGACTATTATCTTTTATTAGTTTTGTCATTACTATGGTAACACCTCTTTGATGCCGGCAAAGGTCATGACTGATAGAATTTGATTCTGAGAGAGCTGAGAATGCAAAGAGTATTGGCTTTTTCCAATATCAGACTGAAATTTCTTACTACATTCAGAAAAAAAAAAGCTGACTTTTTTCAAAATTGATTTCTTATGCATGTGGTATTTCTTCTGCATAGATGAAATTGGAATTCATGGAGCACCACTTGTTGTTGATGGAGCAGAGCTGTGGTTTGTACCAGATAAAAACCTGAGCTTCCAGGAAGCTATTTTCTACTGTCAAAAAAATGATAGTGATTTAGCCTCTGTGGAGTCTTACCCCAAACTCAGGGCAATACTATCTCAAATAGAAAAGGTAAGGGGGTATAATCTATCTAATAGGTACTTTCCACTATAGGGAAATTTTCTTGCCATTTTTTGCAATGTAAGAAGATGTTAATCTTTAATTTCTTTCTTTTTCATGTTGGCCTTAATAGTTTTAATAGTTTTTGCACTATAATAATAGACTTTAAAAATATTCTAATGTCAGTCTTGTAAAAGAATTTTTAAATTTAAAAGTGGCCTTAACAGCATGGTAAAAAAAAAAGCCAAAACCAAACCTCCAAGTGGAGAGCAGAGAATGTCATAACAGATAGGACTACCAGGTAAGCATCCCACTGTCTGCAAATACTTCACTAACAATGTGCCCATTCTTAATTTTATGCGCAGGACATCACATCATTTTCACCTGATGAGAGGATTGAATTAGAAATGCATGATGGTCTGATAGACTTTACTGGAATGGTTTTGTAGTGTTGAAAGCATGCAAGTACATTCTTCTAAGGAATCTTACCAAAGCCTTTTAAGTCCTAGTTATCTGGTAGAATTCCTGCTAAGAATTTTGTGGGAATGATGTATCTAGCACATGCTTAAGACAGTGCTGCAAGATTTCCTTTGCTTTATGCAGCACAGTGGAAAATACAGCTTCTTTTTCTAGTAGGCGCAGGGGTCTATCTACTTGGTGTATTTGTCTCAAACTGTATCCTTTCCTTTTGCTGAAGAATAATAATTCCTTCACATTTTAGAAACATTATAAATGCAAATTAATTTTGTCATTGATTTATCCTTGGTAGAGACTGGAGCTTTTTCTCTGTGGGTTGTAAAATACCGGGGGGTTTTGTTCTTTGTTTCCACAGTTATCAAACAGCGAACAGAAGTGGTGGCTGAAGTTTATTGATTATGGCTACAGTTATCATTCACCGTATGTAGAATAATTATGAGATACGTTATTGAAAGCTTTTGTTGGTGTGCCTTTTAGGAATATAGTTAAATAGCATAGTGTCCAAAGGAAAATATTTTATCCCCAAATTTGTAAAAGGGAATACCTCTTCTGTGTCATCCCAGAGACGTAAAAAAAATAATCTTAACCAAGCTAGAAAAAAATACAGCATTATTCAGTGACTGTTGCTCTCTGCTTCTGTTTGCATGTACCTGCACATGTTCTTGCCATGCTAAACTTAAACCATAGAATATCTAAACCAGAGAGAGTAGGACTGTGCAGTGCTCGAACAAAGCAAATAATGGTTGGGACAGTATGAGTGTACAGTTAGAAAGTGGGTATGTTTCAAAATACTGTTGAAATATTTCAATTAGCTAACATTGAATTCTATTCCCGTTAGAAGCATTATAGACATCAAAAGTTTAATGCATAATAACACTAATAACTGAATTCATAATCCATTTCTCTTGTGTCTGTGAGAGCCTCTAGATTTCAGGATACTGGGCTTTAACATCTTAGTCCTGACATATGAATCCTTGAAATCTGTGGTCATAGTGACCACTGTATTCCACTGATCTTTAAAATGCTTTTGTTGGATTTTTAAGCTCAACAGTGTTTTGTTACAAATCAGGGAAGTGGTAGAAAAAAAAAATAAATCGCTGTATATTGGCTCTGAGGATATCCCAAATGTACCTGGGAACAGGGAGTGGGAAATTGGCTTGAGAGATCACTCTTGCATTTAAGTGACGCTAAAGTCTTGGAGGGCTTATGGTATAGCCCTGTGGAGCTGAGATGACTCGCAGCAAACCTTGCATTTTGTTTTTTGTAGCTGCAGTAAAGCATCACGGCCTTCTTACAAGGAAAATTATTCACTCTCCAAAATACTGTGGAAATATATTACTGTGCAAATAGAATAGACTATTGCCCATTTTCCTCACTTTTCCTGAAAGTGTTCTGAAATTGCAGCATGGTGGTAAATAACCTCCTGCCGTTGTTCTGTATATCTCCTCAACAAAGTTAATTTGGGCATGGTACATGAATACTGAATCTACCACATTTTTGTTCCTAGTCTAGTTTTTCCCCTTCTGTCCTTTCCAGTGCTGTAGGGCATCTCCTAGAAACAGTTACCAGCCCAAATTTTTGTTTGCACTGGCTCTGTTGCTATCAGAGCTTCCATTTGAAGATCCCATTGGATTGGAGATTGACTCTGAAATGTTTATATCCAGTTTACAGTTATTTTCACGCTTCCATGATCGATTCCTGAGAGATTGCTGGTATGTTTCTAGAAAAAACTGGTATAGAGGTAAGGCTGTTCTTGTTTTTTCAACTTTCTCTGTCATTATTACCTTAAAAAAAAAAAAAAGGTAATTACTGTTCTGACTAAACTCTTGTATTGAATGCAAATTAATATTGAATTAGGAGTGACTGGCTTCTTGATGATGATCTGATTGAATCTGAATTCTCCATTGAATCTGGAGTCATTTATTTCTTCCTCATAGTGGAAGCCATGGTAATATTTCTTGATGACCAGAGGCAAATCTGAATTCAGCTGACAAATTTTTAAGATTGATTGTCACTCATTTTACAACATTAATTAGGTGAAATCTGGTTTTGGTGGTTACCTTTTTTGTGTTTATGCTACATATTCTGACCTCAGGAAATTAAGTCTTAGTGTTGTGTTAGAGAAGCTTGACTGAATACTTGCAATCGCATATGCATCTGAAAATGCAAATTTCATTAAGTAGTGGAGTCATACTGGAAGAGGTACACAAAGTAATGGAAATGCTACCTGGTGGTACTTGAAGCTTCTTACTTTGTTTTTTCAACACTATTTTATATTGGGGAAAATGTGTAACTCCTAAAGAACAGATAGTTCCTCCTGTCTACTACAGTTTTCACTTTAAAGCACATTTTCACATTATTGGTTATATGCTGCTGACCTGTTTTCATCCCTATTAGCCAAAAATTGTTCTGGACTGGGAAGCCATGTAAAGCAGCATAGGCCAGACACTCTCCATATGGATATTAAAGGGTTGCTTTTGGCTTTATGACCACATATCTTCTATGCCACATAGCCCTCATATTCAAAATTTTCCTATTTCATAATGTTTCTGTTTTGAAGTTGTCTGCCTATATGAAATGTTACTAATGGAAGTAAAGGATCAGTGTCTGTATCTTTAGAAATATTGTATTACTGTCTGATAGAAATCATTTATGTTTGTCTTTTGCTCTATTGTTACTTTTATTGCTTTAGATTGCATAGTACTTCACCATGGTTGCACTAAAAAGAACTCCCCTTCAGATTGGTCTTTGTCATGTCAGAAAGTGTAGATGGCAATTGGAGATTGATAGGCATTACCATAACTGTTTTTTAAAACTTTTATTTCTGCAGACTACCCAGTTAACTGTAATGTGAAACTGCCCTTCATCTGTGAAAAAAATAATGCCTCCTTACTAGAGAAACACGATCCCAGTTACCGCCCAGTCAGAGGAGGTTGCCCTAAAGGTTGGCATCAGTTCCGGAATAAGGTACAGAGATAATACAGATCAGTCATCCTTTGCCATTTTTCATAGTCTAGTAAGCTGGAGCGCCCTGCTGAAGGAGGTGAGAAAGTAGCCCCTGTGTTTAAGAATAGACTGGAAGGTGGCTTTTGAAAATGATATGATTAAAGCCATCTCCCCCACTTCTCAGTCCCTGATTCAGGATGGATGGTTTCTTCCTCTCAAAGCAGTAATTTTCAGGTTTTTTACTTTCCCATTACCGCGTATTTAAGTCCAAGAACATTAGTTGTATTGTCTGATCCTGGGCTCTGCTTTGGAGGAAGAGAAGGATTAGAAAGGGAGAGGATGAGGTTTCTGTGGCAGAAGTGTCTTGATTCTCTTGCTGAGTAATCATAGGCAGGCAGCAAGCTGGCAGACACTCTGCTTCCGAAGTTGCCTTAAGGACTTTCTTAAGAGTTAGAAGCAGCTTCTAAGAATTAACCAACAGGTCAGAAACCATAGTATAGTAGATTTCGGTACTATGTTTTAAAGCAGTTATCTAAGGTCTTAGACTGATTCCTGTTATTTGATTCACCATTATTCTGTACGTAAGAAGGAACTTGCATCAAGTCTTGCACATTACATTGTGCCATGGTTTGCAAATTTAATTTGCATCATTGCAGAATGCAGCTTTTAAGCTCCCATGTAGTTTCTCCTGAAAGGTAATGAATTACAATACAGGTTCATGGCCCAATCCTGTCTTGACTTGAGACTTCATGTGTGAATTCTCAGTCTTAAAACAGTATATGATCCTGATGTAGCTGTTTAAAAATTACTGAATTCTAATCATCAGTGAATGAGGAGTTAGTCAGTGGGATCGTTTTATATTTAGCTGTTCTGTTTAATCTAATAAGAAATGCATGCAGCTAGTTCCCTTGCTTTTTAAGGAAAATAATTATTGCAGGAAGTGAGCAGTGAATTTTTAGGGTTGGTTTAAGAACATGATGAAAATCAGTTTCATTATGTTTGTTTTGCAGTGTTTTCTAAAGATGAAACCTGAATATTTAACATTTAATGCAGCTAATGAAAAGTGTGTAACTTTTGGAGGCTCTCTGCCATCTATCTCAAATCAAGCTGAGCAAGGTATGATGCTGAACTGGGGGAACTTTTAGTATGCAGCTTGTCTTCCAAATTCAGTATGGTCCTGCTTAAGAACGTTAGCATAAAATAAGTTGGTTATCTACTGGCATAGTGGGAGCGTTCTAAAAATCTTACGACCAATTAAAAATGTGTTGTCTCTTCTTGTTTGTATCACTGGAAACATAACATGGAAATGCAGTCAGCAAATATTTGGGCCAGTTTGAAGTGAAGCTTCTCTGTATGATTCTAACCTGTTATGGAAAAAAAAAACAAAAAACAAAACAAAAACAAAACAAAAAAAAAAAAAACAAACAAAAAACAACAACCAAAAAACCCTTTCACTAAGTGTTGAGGATAGAGTAGTCACCATTGAATGAAGAATTGCTTTGCACATTAAAACATAACTGAGACTGTACTTTGCACTGTGAAAACCCCCTTAGGAGCTCCTTCCAAGACAAGCTCAGCTATATGTGTGGGAATGAGATGGTAAACAATGCCTGCTGGATCACATAGGACCCTCTGTGTCTCAGTGTGCTGGGCAGTTTAATGGGGCAGCGTATCTAAATGGACCAGCTGCAAGCTCTCCAGGACACTGATAGGGGGATAGAAAGGGCGTTTGCAAAATACAGAGTTGTTCCACCTGCCTCTCAGCTGTTTAAATTAGAGCAAGTGAGGTAAATGCAGTGAGGAAGAAAGGTGTTGGCATTGGTTGCCAGTGATGTTGGCTGCTGAATGAGATGGCTGTATTGGCATCTCTGTTCTTGTGGATAGCTAACAGTTCTCTACAGGTGTATCTGAAGTCGGTCAGTTGAATTCTGCAGTGTGCACAGTGCATATTTTCTTTATATGCAAATAACCTCTTGGCAAAGGAAGTATGGAAGGTGAACTATGAGGCCCTTGGGTGCCTGCAGGTATCAGCTGAATAGCAGTTGGTTTTTACTGATGTTACTGGGGAGAAATGGAGTTGTAACCATACAGAAATATACATATTTGAGACCTGTGTGGGTTTGAATGCTTTTAAGATTGCAACAGCCATTCTAAAATATTACCTAGTAGGATCTTTTATCTGATTTGGTGCATATGGAACTGTTGTTGTTGTTTCTTGTTTGTTTTTCTTTCTGCCTTGCAGCGGAGGCCACCTGTATGGAAGGATGGCACAGTCCTCTTAAAAAAAAAACAACAAAAAACAAAACCCAACCAAACCAAAAAAAAAACAACCAACCAAACAAAAAAATCCAAAACACCCTGCCTCTTTCTGTAGGCTGCTTCTACTCTTCCCAGTGGCATCAGGTGGCTAGCCAGCTCTGACGTGTAAATCTTCAATGGCTTTGTCTAGCTCAGAAAATAGGTTACAGTTAGTCTGGCATGTGGCCAATAGTTAAGACATGTCAGCAGTAGCTAATTACATAGCTGCAATTTGTCTTCCTAATCTAGACAAGTTCAGTGAATGTCTTTGGTGCCTGCAGGGTTACTGAAGCCTATTGTTTTGTGCCAGAATGTTCACTAAGAGGGGGTCTGATTTAAGGGTTTCCTGGATGATTTTTTTTTTCCCCCACCCAGCTAAACCTGACTTCCTTTGTCCTGTCCTGCTTTCTCTGTTGATGGGGTGGGCAAACCCTGCCAGAATACAAGAAATAGTTCCAATTTATGGTGTACTTCAATAGGAGGTGAAGATGGCAGATAAGACTTTCTCCATCAATTCAGAGGACAGGAGGGAACTCTTCTATTATCTAGAAGATCTTGCAGGCCTGTGGAAAAGCAGATTCTGAAATTTCGATGCAAGGGTGCCAAGTAGTGGGCAGAGAAACAGGTTAAATCCACTATCTGCTCCTCAGCTGAGAATTTGGAGGACAAATACCAGTACTCTGCTCCTTTCAGATAATCAACATGAAAAGTGTAATGGAAGGAAGGGATGATAAGCATTTCAAAACCATAAAGGGCTGGGAACATTAAGTTAATACAGACAGGGGTTGCATTACCTTGTTTATGTGAAGCCTTTTTTCAGATGTTTACTCTTGTTACAATATGTACATTTACTGTTCTGCCCAACAGATTATATAACGTCTTTGCTTCCTGGTATGCCAAAAGATATTTGGATTGGTTTGCAGTTTCTGTTCAGCACAAGGGAAAACAAATGGATAGATGAGAGTAGACTGTTGTATAGTAACTTTCACCCACTCCTGACAGGAAGATTAAGGAAAATTCCACTGGATGTAAGTTCTGACTTTTGACTTTTCTTGGTTATTGAGTAATGAAATTTGAAATATTGACTATATTAAAAAAGAAGTAAAAAAAAAAATCTGTAACAGACAAAATCCCCAGTTAGTGGTTTTAATTTACAAACACCATGACTGATGATAATGGAGTTCTGCTTATCTTTATTTGGACGACAACTTCTGAACTGAGATATGAAACACTGGAGGGTGAAGAAGAAAAGCTGAAACAACCATTTAATGACTCTTCTGGGACTTCTATTTGCAATTTAAAGACTACATGAAGACAGTCGTCAGAAAGGTGTCATCAGTAATTCCTGATTCAGTTACACTTAGAGTGCATCTGTAAACCATTATACATTGGTATTTTGCTTGCTGCTCTACCCCAGGTGGAGCATTTGACATGTAATCAAATCACACCTACAAACAGGATTTATTGCATGTGTTAAATAATTTTTTATTCTCCCCTGTATTTAATTTATGAATTACTTTGTGTCCAGGCACCTACCAGTGCTTGTAAAATAGGTAAGCTGTATTCCACCACTTCTTTGAAACTGCTTAAACAAGTTCAGACAGCTCAGGTTCTCCTAGCCTCATCTTATGTCCCCTTCTCTACACAAGTCTGTTAATGTCTTACTTGATTCTGGTTTTCAGCTTTTTGATGAAGAATTTAACAATCAGTGTGGTGTAATCCTCAATGATCCTAAATCACAGTATGTTGGAACATGGAATTTCACTGCTTGTGCTGACAGGCATTTCTTGGGTATATGCCAAAGGCCTATAGGTAAGTCTGAAGAGTCAAAATAAATTAAAGCCAGAATTTGCAGTAAAGATGCATGTTGCGAGAGGCCTTTTAATGCATGTAGGGTATTGCACTTAAAGAGCAGGAGAGACTGAGCAGGTGTATTTTTGGAACGGCAGAGTGTGGAAAAGTATCTGGGACCTGTTTTGTCAGTTATTCAGAATTTTCCCTTTTGTTTTTCATAGCCCAGTTCAGAGGGAATCTCCGTTCCTGAGAGACTCTGTTTCAGTGCAACCATACTTCAGCAGACAGGGCTCTAATGTTCTGTGGGCATAAAGGTCGTATCAGTGACCCCTTTTTACTCTTCAGAACTGTAGAAGTGAGAAGCCCTGGAAAGGAATCTTCACAGTATTTCTATCCTACTTAAATATACCATGTGGGTTTTAGTGCTATCACAATTGGGATGATGCAGCTTTCCCTAGCTTCATCCAGATCTGTTGGTGTAAGTGGGTTTTCTTAATCTAAACTAAAAATAATACTCTGATGTAGCTGTGTGGGTTGGTCGATAGCAATTACTGGAATCAGATCAAACACATGTCGCTGTTATACACATTTAATTAGTGCTATGGGCTAATGTTCAGCATACCCACTTCTGAGTATGTTCTTCTATGTAAATAATCCTTTTAAGTCACTAACATGCTATCATCTAAAAAAAAACCACAAAAACAACCCACAAGAATACCCCGAAGAAAACCAACAGTCGTGCAAAACACTGAAGAATATGCCCACCGTCTTCATTCTCAAATAGGCAAAGATATTTCCCCATCCTTAATGCAAAAAATATTCTTTATTTCAGTGCCAAATACTTCTGAAATTCCAAGTGTCTGTATTAGAAGTCTTGATGGAAGAGAGGTAGTCATAAAAATTTGAAAAGGGGATTTTTATTAATAGGAGGTTGACTCTGTATATGTGTAGATTATTATATTATTAGTCTAGGCTGACTGAAATACTAAGCACTTCTTCTTTGCCATAGCTGTAGAAGGTGTAATGAGAAATGTTTTTGGACTGCCAGCAAATGTGTCCTGGTATGGTTTGGTGTTAAATCCTTGTTGTATTAGGGATCTAAGTATAGTTCACATTCGAAGTGTGCAGGGACAGCTGTGAGAGTCCAGACCAACCTAGGCTGGGGTTTTACCCTAGGGAAAAAGATGATTCCTGTTCCTTGGAACTATTGGCATGATCGTGATTTGTAGAACTTCTTCAGGTGTGAATTTGATTTCACATTGCATTTCTTCAGATGGCAATTGCTTCTTTCAGAAATGGACACTTCCATTATTACCTTGTTTCCAGTTTGGTACTCCGTGATGTGTGATGGCACCCTTGGTTCCATGATTCTTTTTTTGTAGCTGTTTACTAAGTGAAAGCATTTGGCAGCAAGACACAAGCCACTTGAAACAACCTGTTTCAGACTTGTCACTTTTCTGACCTATTTAAAGCTGTAAATATCAAATTAATACTATGTTTCTGTTTACCTGTATTTTGGAAAGTGGTCCTGTCAGTCAATCAATCACTTATACCCTGGTATTTTTAGTATGATTCTGTCCCTCCCCATAAATCTTTTTCTGCTGGAGGTATTTTAAATGTCAAGGATTTTCTCCCTTTTGGAGAGCCAGTTTATTTTTGACTAAGTTTTTTGGGGTTACCTGGTTTGCATGCTTTAATTTGCCATTCACGAGAATGTTTACATATTTTAGTATTTGCAGTTGCTATATGTCACTGAACTGTATACCTTCAAGTATGATGCTGATAATGCTCAGTGCTTAGAGCATAAATAGTGAATTATACCCCTCCCTTTGCAAGGCGGATTTTCTGCAATTAGTTAAGCACACGTGGAGGCAAAATCAATTCCAACTGTACTCATGGATGTAGTAAGGTATTCTGGGACTGTGCTGTGCTAAGATCTGTGTAGACAGGTTTCATAGCCCATGAGATTTGCATAAGCATAAATCCATATGCTCCACAGAGATAAATGAGTCAAGTTTATCTTTTGCTGGATTGCAGCAGAGAGCAGTCACTCTCTCCTGTTCATGTATTTAATTAAAATTGTAGAATGTTTTTAATTCAACAAGTAGAGTTCTTAACATTATTTCACAATTAGTTAAAAATAGCAAATATAAAACCATGTGAAACTTAATTGAGAGAAATGTATGTAAAAATAGATTGGCTGAAAGTAATCCTTATTTTTTCTTTTATATATTTTTCTGTTTGAAGTATCAAAGACACTTGCTTCTAACTATAATTATTAGCAAAATCTACTGTTACTTTTTTTAATCTGTGGGAATTCAGACAGGTTTTTCTGTTTGTTATAGAGAAATTGAGAGTTTAAAATGTATTCCAGTGTTTAACCACCTAGTAACTGGATTGATTTCTTATGCATAGGAGCTGCTGATAACCAGACAGAGCAAGTCCTTAATGAAACATTGAGCTATCAAAATGTTCAATACTTCATAATTCTGAAGAATTTGTCCTGGAGCGATGCAATGACTGCATGTGTAAATAACCAGATGCAGCTGGTTAGCATCACAGATCAGTTCCAGCAGGCTTTTCTTGCTGTTCAGGCTGCCCTTCGTAATTACCCACTGTGGATTGGACTCTTCAGCAGAGATGTAAGTTTTATTTTCCCCTCGGGCTGTGGCTTAAGGTAATTTTAAGAGTTGCATGAAACAGAAACTAGGTTAAAGAAATGCAATGAAAAATTAATTTCTGGGGTAACTGTTCTCATTTGGGAATGACCATCTGGAGGGTCTCAAGATTAATGTTCAAAATCTTCAGTTCTCCAACAAGTTACATAGTTGTTGAAGTCCACTGGAAGGATTGTTCATGAAGAGACAATTCTTTTAAAAGATGATAGGGTGAAAGGATATATTGTAGGGTGGCAGCATCATATCATCATATCAATCATCTTTGTCTTTCTCGTTAATGAACGAGTAATTAGTGTTGCCATTTAATACCATTGCCACTAAAAGAAAGACAACCCAAAATCTGTTTTAAGAGGGAGAAACTAGTAGTGGTAAATAACCTCCAAAACGAATCACTGAATTCTTCTGGGGATAGTTAGAGGGAGACTCCCTAAGGCTGGTTAGTGGGCTTTTCTTTTTTTTTCTTCTATTTGTTATGTCTTTGGAAAAATCAATGGAGGAGGTACTGCTTGCTTTTAAGACCTCTTTAAAGATCTTCATTGTGGATTGAGAGCTCTCTCAGCTGTTAATAAAATGGCTTGAGCTTGCTTTCAGGGTTTATGTCAAGCATGAGTCTTGAGGTCATCATAAAAAAATAGTTAAAATATGTTTGAGAAGTGCCTTACCCAGAAAGCTTAACAGTGCTCACTCATCATCTGTGATGTTATGATCATCCTATGTCAGTACTGGGCTACTGAGTATTCTAGGCAAAGTAGGGAGAGGGGGAATAGTAACTTGATATATATATATCAAGTGTAAATATATACTTGTATATATCAAGTATAAATACATCAAAGTATAAATATATACTTTGTAGAGAGTATTTTAAAAGGAATATGGCATTTCATGTTAGTGAAGATGCGGGAAACCAGACAACCTATTTTCCCCTCCTCTTTTGAATCTTCATCTGTAGGTGAAGATCAAATGATTAATTTTGCTACATACAACTTGGGCATGCACTGGCTTTTCACTATTGCAACACTTCATTATTTGGGCACAATTAAAAAGTCACATGAAAGGAAATTATAATGAAAGTGGTCAACAGAACTTGTTACTCCAGTGCTGGAATCACAGACACAAATGAAAGATATGCGATAAATTAAATTACAAAGTGGCAGGGGAATTTCCTGAAGAAAACTTTTAAATATAGGATTCTTCAAGGATGGCGTGCTTGTATGTGGGGTTTTTTTCTTATTCCTCCTGCATCCTCCAGGGCAGGAATGCACTTATTAAATCAGTTAAGTATTTAACATATTACTTCCAACTCAGTTTGGAGTAACTGAGACTTATTCTCAGATATTCTGTTTTCCAACACCAGATAATTACATCCACCATTTATTTGCAGGTGCAGATGATGCAACATTTAAATAATGCAACATCTACTTCAGCTAATTCATATTTTTGCAACTGCAAAACTTAAAATAATGAAGTTGGTATATTTTGAGCAGCCGATCAGATCATGAGGACAGTGGAACATTTACAGTTCTCATCAGAGACTCTGTCTAGTCAATATCATGTCATTATCATGTCATTTTCTGTACCTAGTATTTTTTACCTTGTAAGCTCATCCGTTTTACCTATACAATACCAGGGTGGAAGACATTATGGCTGGCTGGATGGGAAACAAGTTAGTTTTAGTCGCTGGTCTGAAGATGATGAAGAAACAAGTGAAGAATGTGTGGTTTTGGATACTGATGGCTTCTGGAAAACTTCTGACTGTTCCTCTGAAAATCGAGGTGCTATTTGCTATGCATCAGAAAGTATGTATCCTAGCATAATAGTTACAAAAGCTGAATTACACATTACATACTTGATAATTCCAGATTGTAACTTCAAAATTGGAACTTTTTTAACTCATGCTCTCAGGCAGGCTGATTTGCATGCCAGAAAAAAAAAAAACAAACTTCAAAGAAGGCACAAACCAGTTCTTAATCAACATTACTTATAAATTAATTTGGCATGGGTGCATTGGGCTAGACTGCACTGTTCATATTGCCAACTTATTCTGCCTTTCCGCTGTTTCTGTAAGATTGTTGCATACTGATTTCCCCCATTTGCATGTGGGAGAAGATTCAGCTACCTCTGTACTATTTATCTCTTAATATTGGGACCTCCTGAAATCTCTTCAGACATGGAAGTCAATACAGGGAGGAGGAGGTGGTACATGACTACATGGAGAAGACAGATAGCAGGTAGACATTGAATTGAAAGGTGTAAATTAAAGTCATCTGCAGTTCACAAAACCATACTAAATGTCTACCAATTATAGCAAGACAGGTAGGGAGGACATCTCTGGGGAGGAGATACATACATAGCACAGCCCTTTTCTGAAAAGGAAAAAAGATTGCAGATTTCTTCCCTATGAAAGACAATTATAATCTGTTTTGGCTTGTTGGTTTTGTTTTTTTCTGTGAGGGAAACACAGTTAAGCTGTTGTACATACTGAGTCACAGTGAAGTATATACTTGGCATTATGACATGTTTAACTATTTTGTGCTTGCAGTTTCAGTGACTGCAGGAAGAGTCTTCACTTCTTAAGTATTAGATAAAGCCACAGAACTAAGATGTGTTGACTGCTAAGTCACTTATTTGTTATGGTGATCTGCCTTCATGCAAGAGGCAGTCTGAGGTTTTATTTATTAGCCCACACTTAGCACTTTCATGTAGGGATTTTATTATTAAAACTATATAGCATAACAATTGGAAGCATGTGTATTCTTTGATAATGCTTACTGTTGGTATTTTTACTTAAAAAAAACAAAACACCATTGTGAAAAAGCAGGAACAGTGTATTGCACATTTAGAGGATGGCACTTAATTTGTAAGTTTTTCAGTGGTACCAGAAGGTAGTATGTGGTGCGTCAGGTTATGTGTTGTTATTAACGAGTCATGTCCTGCATGTTGTCTTTCCTTTCCTTAGAGAAGATTGAAAAAGAACAAGCTACACAAGTTAAGTGCCCACATAAGATTAAGAATACACCCTGGATATCATTTAGAAACAATTGTTACACTTTCATGATAACGAAAAATAGATGGAGAGAAATGAAATCTCAAGAAGCTCATCATTTATGCAAGAAAATGAGTAAGTACTTTGTCATACAACAGGTATTTATGAACATACCAGCTTCAGGGAGATGAGATCTGAGTCACTGTCTTACAAGGACGGCAAAGTGAGTGTTGAAAAAGGTTGTAGCATTTGGAGATGTGCATTAGTGTTGCACTGCCTAATTGTGTTTGCCCTTGCACTACTTTGATACAAAGTGCCAGAGCATGGGTAAGAGAATTTGAGAGAGAGAAATGGCTAGGAACTGTTGAATTCTGAAATCTCTGGAAAACTGAAAGGTATTTTGCTGTTTGCTTGGTTTTGTGCTTTTGTTGTGGGTGGTTTCGTGATTGGTTGTTGGGCTTTTTTCCCTTTATAATAAGTAGATTTTAAATTGGTTGGGTAATTTTATCCTGTTGGCAACAGTCTGGCTTTGCGATCACATTTACTTCATTGGTGTTTTTTTTTCTCTCCCTTGCTATGTGGAACACTTAAGTGAACAAAGTAAGTGAACTGAGAATAGTCCCATTCAGAAAAGCACATGGGCTTTTCCTGTCCATCCTGAGCAAAGTGTAGACTTAGGAACAGCTTCCCTCTTCTATTAAACCGTTGCTTATGGCACTTCAAACGTGCATCTCTCCAGAAACTTTTAATTTTTCATTGACTGATTTCAGTTCAGTCATTTTCTTAATACTGTTTCTCTACTAGGCAGTTCAAGAAGATAAGGAAAGATTGCTGGTATTTTTATTTTCTATGCAGAGAAGTTTTACTACACATAGCCTAAGTGACAGTAGGACCCACAAATACTCTGGAGCGGATGTCTTTCAGTTATCCACAAAACCAGGGGAAGCACTGTTTATAATACATACCTTTTAAAAATTGTTTTCACAATGTTCGTTACTGTTATAAAGGCCTTTGTGCATTCTTGGCCTGTCTCTAATAACCATTTACAGTCATAGAAAATAATTTGTAACTGAAAAAGTGAATTTTTAAGAAAGTAATTTAAAAAAAATTTCAACAGACTCTGAAGCATTTGTTCTGAGTGTTCGAGATGAAGAAGAGAATAACTTCGTTACTGAGCAGCTTCATTCATTCAGTGGTCTGGCTACATGGGTCTGGCTGGGTGTGATTTATGATGATAGTGGTAAGATTTAAGGTGTTTTTTTTTCTTAATAACTGGATTGGAGACAAAGTTTGCAGCATTAGGTGCATGTTTCAGTATACAGCTGAAGTCAAACTGAATGCAAACCTATAATAATGTTTTATATATTTATATATTATGTATATTTATTATACTTATTTATATTTTATATATTTATCTTCTAGAAGAAAATATCCTGGCATGCTTTCTGTTTGAGTGATAATTAGATCCAGTATGTTCTGTTTAGTCTAAATTTGATTTCCCTGGAAAACAGAATGTAAAAAGGCCTGGATAAGTAATGCTAACTTACTTAGCATTGTCTATGGAATAGATTTACAGTAACTGAGAGTATCACTGCATTTTTTCCAAAATGAGTATCTGTTAAGGTCATTAATATATTCAAAGTTAAATTAGATTTGTATACATGATGCCAATATTTTAGTAAATATGCAGTGTTTTCCACAGATAAAGTTCTCAAATGGTATGATGAAACTTATCTGACTTACAATAACTGGAGACTGGGAAGACCTAACATAAAGAAGAACAGTTTTTTTGCTGGTGTAAATCTTGATGGCTTTTGGGATATTTATAATTACTCTCAAAGCTGGCATGCTCATCACTATAATGTATACAGTATTCTCGCCTGTAAAATTGAAAGCGGTAAGTAGCAGAGAACATTTATGTGTAGTAACAGAGTGTTGGATGAGGGTCATAATTTAAGTTCTATTTCTGTAGTACCTGTAGTAACCAAAGCTATAAGGCTTTGGTTTTGCTGCCAGTGAAACACATGGCACAGCTGTCATGGCTTTCTTGGGCTGTAGGGTCAGCCTGTGCATCACTGCTGTAATACTAATTGTAATAATAAATCAGGAGGAATTGTGTTTGGTGTACTTCTCCATCACCTGCTCACAATGTTCAAAGTAGCAAAAGATAACTTACTTCATGTAAGTGGCTTGTAATGCACGCTTTAATGCTTGAGTTGCATTGATACGGAATGATTTTAATGCTTTCTGTATGTTCATGGTAACATGAATGAAGTACCCAGAACTTGTTGTCTTTTTATTCTTTGGCATAGGACCCCAACAGCACAAGCCTCCATTGCCCGAGTCTGTTCCACATGGAAACAGAACATACAGAATCCTTCAGAAAAAGTTAACATGGTATGAAGCATTGAGAGAATGCAAACAAAATGGGAGTGATTTAGTAAGCGTACACAGTGAATCACAGCAGTTATTTCTAGAAGATATTGTCAAGCAGGATGGCTATCCTCTGTGGCTTGGGTTGTCGATTCATGATGTAAGTATATGCTTACACGTACTTATATAGTATATGTTGGTGGCATCAGTAGCAGAGCTTGTAAATAATGTTTTGCCCAAGATACGAAATACTTTCTGATGCTTTTTTCCAGTTTATTGGAATCTCTATTCAGTGTAGTAAACTACCTACTTTTTCAGCCCTGTGTAACATAAGTTAAAATATATTAAATTTTAGTGTTAAGTAGCCACACCAATATATTTTTCCAAATCCTTGACATTTTAAAATAATAGAATGGTCCCACGTCATTCCTTGCAGGACAAGAAAGTGCAATTTACAGCGCTACCTTTAGAGGCTCCAGATTTTATGGCCTTCTGCAGGATGAGATTCCATTTGCAAATACAGTAAGACAAGGCTGCATGGAGCCTGTTTAGTGCAGGTCAGGACTGGGTCTCCAGGAACTGACTGTCTAGTAAATTATGCCTCCTTCCCAAGAGGCATAGGAGGGGGCAGCAGCAGATCTTCCTTCTCCTTTGTCTACTTAACCTTGGAGCCAAAAGCCTGTGGCCCTTACCCTGCTCCCCATACTAATTGCTAGACCTGGCAGGAATACCCCCTTGCAGAGGTGTGTGATTTATATGTGTGCCTTTGCTGCCTCTGCCTGTTCTTTGGTCTGAATGGGTCCCTCCACTTCTGACAATTGACTCTTCGTTGTCATGGGTTTCCAGCAGTGTATCTGCAGTAGGAGCTAATCATTCCTGAGCTGCCCAGCTGTACTCACTGAGGCCATCTCAACAGTTTAGCAGTTTGGAACATATCTAATAATGTTCATAGTGAGGAATGCAGACTGCTTAAATGAAACAGCAGGATGAAATGAAGTAAAATGTTCTCCATAGAATAAAACAAGGCACATTGCAGGTTTAAGTTTCTTACAAACATGCCACATTTTCTCAGTTCCCACAAATAATCAGGATTTCTATCTTAGGAATTCATTGGAAAATACAAACAGTCTTGTACCTGTATTGAGTATGGATTTAGAAAATGTGGCCACCCACACTTTATCAGCTTACAAGGGATAAATGTTTCTACATTACTTACTAATGACTGTCAGGATTTAAACCACATCCATATACTGTGGTTTAAAAGTTATGTTTTTTTTTTTCTTTAACTAGGGAAGTAAAGCTAATTTTGAATGGTCAGATGGGAGCGACTTTGACTACTATCCTTGGGAATTAGAAAACTCAAATACTACTGAGAACTGTGTTTTGTTGGATACTAGAGGATTTTGGAACCGTACAAAATGTACAAATGTTGCTGAAGGTGCCATTTGCTATAGCCCTCCAAACAGTAAGTGTTATTTTTAATATTTAGAGTAGTTCTCTTATCTATTCTATTTACATATGTTGTATTTAGAACTACAAATGAAGGCTGAAATGCTGCATGATTCCTTCTAAAGAGGAGCTATCTATCAAGGGTGATAAAATACTTTTTTAATACTTCAGGGAGATTCATTCTGTCTATTCCAGTGATGAAAATCTAAATCAATCCTGGTCACTTTTTTATCACCTGTGGTATGAATATCACACTGTATCTATCTTTTCTGAATCAAAATCCTTACCAAACACATACAACAAACTCCAAACCTTCCTAAAAGGTAGGAAAAATGTTTACATGGTTCCCAGGATTTTTTGAGGCTTGCCTCATGCTTGTTTTCAAATAGATTCATTTATGATATATGACGGAGGAATGAAAGTTAACTGAATCATGGTTGTTGGTAGGAGAGGTAGTCACCAATACTGTCCTGTTACTCCAGAGAGACTATGCAAAAATGTCTGCATCAGAAATAACATAATTTTCTTCGTTTTTGCAGAAAGACAATTACAGCCAAAGCCAGTGAGCAAAGCCCCAGGATGCCCGCAGCTTAGCAGTACCCTACAATGGATGCAACACAAGTATCATTGTTACGCATTTGACATGGCATTCTACAATTTTTCAGTATATAATGTGGAAGATGCTAAGAAAGTCTGCCAGAAACTGAGTATGTTTAGACTCCTTACATTACAACTTATAATTAGTCCGCTATGCAAAAAGTAATAAAACCCAACAACCAGAAAGCTTATACTGGCTATACTTCAGGTTTTCATCATCTTCAGTTTAGGAAAAGTAATAGCAAGCTTTATCTCTGAATATCTGATAAAGGTTCTTGATAAAATGCTGCAATGTACTGACCAAATTGCTTAGCACACAGCAAGTAAAATGCAGATAGCATTGATAGAAGACTCAGAAATGTAAGGATTAAACCCTTTTATTTGCATACAATTAACTTTATAATAAATATAATGCTGTTAGCAGTGCTTTCTTACATCCTTGTAGTAGCTGCTTGCTAATAAGGAACTTACTAACCTATCAAATGGTTCAAAGCATGTACTTTATAGATATTATTAAGGCACATAATATCACTAAAAAACCTCAATTTTACTTCAAGTTAAAGGATTTTTTCTCTTCTTTGAGAAGCTGTGGGGAATTGTATTGCAGATGATGATGTTAAGCAGTGTCATGTGCAGAATTTTTAATTAGCTTCTTAGCTTAGAAGCTAGTGATTGTCATAACTTTCTTTTATTGGATTATCTTATGATGTGTACTCCATGTAGGATGAAAAAGAGAAGGTGCAAGTAGTCGCAGTCCTGGATGCAGTTTTTTGTCGAGTCCTGCCTGGCCTCTTAGTTGAAAGAGAAAGTGATCTTCCTCTAAATTAAGCTTCTGTCTTAAATCTGTATGTGCTTGTAAAGAATGAGCCTGTCTCCAGTATACCCTTTCCTCCCTCTTATTTCTTAATTGCTGTAACACTGTGTATAAAAACCTGAGGCACAATGAGGGGATCAGTTTAGAAATTAACTCAGCAAAATGATGAGCTTTAGTTCAACTGTATTTTTGAAAAGGGTTTATTAATTGACAGGGCTTGTAATTTGAGTTTGCCGTATCGTTTGATGTTTTCCATGTGTGTAATACACAGCTGCAGTAAGTTTACTCCCATTTTATTTTCTATGACCTGCTTGAATAACCAGTCATCTGAAGCCATCTGCATAAAGTGCTGTATTTTAGGGAATGGGAGGTTTATGTCTTTATTCTGCAGGTTACTTTAGGCGATTTTTTTAGAAGCCCAGATTAGCAAATCTTTTCCTGTAGTAACTGTTCCCACAAAAAGCTCAATGTACAAGCGCCATGAAAAATATCTGAAGTTTCAATTTTTCCTCTTCCCCTTAGATCCTTCAGCAACTCTTCTGACTATAGTGGATGCTGAAGAAAATGCATTTGTGAGCGCACACATAAAGGAAAATGATCTCATCACCAAGAACGTATGGCTTGGCCTAGCTCAAAGCTCTAAGGGTAAGAAGTAGCAACCATGTATGAGCATGAATGTTTCATATCGTAAATAAGAAAGGTAAGTCCTCAAATAAGAATACAGTTTTGTAGTGTTGATATCTTACAGTAACACATGCTGAGGTTGGAATCCCTCATTTAGCATTATAAAGCCTTCCTTGGACTTCATTATAGCTTAAATATCTTCCTGTGGCACCCTTCAGGAGTACAACATTTTCCTCAACACTGCCATTGATGCCTAGTGATTAATCATAGAATCATAGAATTGTTAGGGTTGGAAAGGACCTTAAGATCATCTAGTTCCAACCCCCCTGCTGTGGGCAGGGACACCTTACGCTAAATCATATCACCCAAGGCCTCGTCCAATCTGGTCTTTAACACTGCCAGGGATGGAGCATTCACAACCTCCCTGGGCAACCCATTCCAGTGCCTCACCACCATAACAGGAAAGAATTTCCTGCTTATATCCAATCTAAACTTGCCCTGTTTAAGTTTTAACCCGTTACCCCTTGTCCTATCACTATAGTCTCTAATGAATCAAACACTAAAGGTCTGGAGAAGAAGCGTGGCTGAAAGTGATGTGTTCATATTTATTGCTTTTAATACATGGGATAGTCCTGTTTCTTTTGGCAACGTAAAGAAATCAACAGATTGTCAGTGGCACTGTGAAGCATTAGAACATGTTTTAGTGATCTAAACTAAGCAAAAATTTTTTTCCCCAACAGATCAGTCCCTGAACTGGGTTGATGGCTCATCAGTTAATTATGTCAACTGGGAAAATAAAACTGCAGCAGTCAATGAAAACTGCAGCGTTATCCTGTCCACAACTGGCACGTGGTCCAAAGTTGACTGCAGTCGTAGTCAAAGCAGAGTGGTTTGTAAAGCTCCTTTAGGTACGGAAGCATTGATTTTAGCAGAGACTTTTTTTTGTAGTGAACATATTCAGGATTTTCTTTTTCGGGTGGGAAAAGTCTGTGTTGAAATAATGAAAGTGTAATTCACAAAAGAACCTGTCAATTACCTCTGCCTAAGCAAGAGCTTTCTATTGCTGTTTTGCCATAAAATTGCATTCAGGGACAAATTAGCTAGGAAAGTAATTCTCCTGGCTCCTGCTATCCACTCAAAGGGTGAGGGAGAGAACTGAAATTTCCACTCACAAGAGCTCATAGAGTAGTTGCAAACACCTCTTACCATGGGATCTCTCTCGCAGGTAGGTGCAGGTTGGAACAGAGAGACTTCTGCTTCTAGGATGGTCAGTAAGCAGGTGCTGCAGATTGTGTTTTCAGTCTTGAGGAGGCTTCTGAAAATGGTGCCCTGCAGTTCCAGAAATTCATTCAGGCCTTGTGTTACTTCATCGTACTCTGCTCTGTACGGGAAAGAAGCAGTTACCCAAGCATTAAGCAAGTTCCTGAGAAGTACTGGAATCTTTCTGATTCTGTATATGTATTCACTGAAATGGAAACTACATGTTGCTGAGGAAGACCTAAACAAGACATCTTCAGTCTAAGGGAAGCATAATTCCCTCCACTCCAAGAGAGTCCAGGATCTCATTAGATTTCTGAACTATACAAACCTTGGAATGAGTACAGCATTTACTAATAGGTTTTTTTGACCTCCAGAGGTCCCTTCCAACCTAAATATTATTAGGAAATTAACAACAGAATGATCCAAAATCAGCTAATAGATGCTGATTCATATGGGAACATAACTTCCCATGTGATAATGTGAAGACTGTTAATATGATGAAGCAGTTTGCCTTAACTTCAACTGAATGCGTGCGGTATTAGAGTATAGTTACCTAAGCATCAACCCCATGACAAAATATTCTTACTGAAAGAATAACTATTTGTGTTTTGTTCTGTTACAGGTTCTAATCATACCGGCGTGGCTGTAGCATTTGCCCTGCTAATTATCTTAGTCTTCATGGTCGGATTAATCTGGTATCTCTATAGAAAGAAGCGTTTTCACTGGAGTGCCTTCTCTTCAGTACGCTATCAAAGAGGGGTGAATGATGATGAAACTGAGGATGTGTTCACTAAAGATAGTTATTGAGAAACTGTTCCTTCTGGGCAATTTTGCATGAACTTCACTGTGTGAAGCCGTAAGGAAGGAGCTACTTGATGGTTTATTACTTCTTTTTGGAAAAGTAATAAGAAGGTTATTAATAGGTGGTAAATTTTGTTCTTTTATACAAGTGCAATTTTTATTCAAGTCCATGGTAATTACATGTGGCCTCAGCCATTTAGGTGCAAGGTTTCTAGAGTTCGATGATATTTTTTAATTTACAGTGTTCTCTCTCTTTACTGGAGAGAGTGGAATAATGCCAACAGTAGTTCATGCAACATCACGTTAATGAATACACTTAAAATTGGTACATGAATTCTGTAACTTTGTACAATTATCCATCAATAACTTCATGCCAAACGATGCACCATTTTGATATGCCATAAGGGTTTTGCTGCTAGCATTGGATTATGCTGTAGAAGCAGCTTTTGTAATTAACAGTTATAAATTTTGATATAACGGGAGCAGGGAGTTATCAGACAACCGAGTATTTTTTCCCAACCAACTAGAATTTAAATATTCTTGTTATAGTGGAGGAAGATCATGCTGCGATTTCCCCCCCACAAAAAAAAAAAAAAAAAAATCATAGTGGTGAGAGAAGAATTTTCCTTAGAATGTACATTTTGTATGAAGAGTTAGGAGGAAAACCTTGAGCTAAAGCTATGCCATCTAGGAATAAATTAGAGTATTTAAAAGCTGAGACTGTGTTGAGCTGGCACATCACTGCTCTTATCCCCTGAAAGTGGTAGTGGGGCTAACAAAAATACCCACTAAGGGCTTACTGCAAACACAAGCACAACTTGAGATACAATAAAAGCCTTAGCCCCATAAAAAAGAAAGGCATAAATGTTTTATCCTGTGACATAAATGATTTTCAAGTAATTGGCTCAATTTCTTTTCACAGCTCCTTTCACGAAGTTTTGGAAGCACAAATAGTAGGAATGTTTACAGTGAGAAGTCAGTATCTAGACCTAAGTATTAATTAATTAAAGGTTAAAAAGCCTGCACTCGTAGTAGTACTTAGAGGAGGAGATACCACATTCTATTGTACATCTTAACCGACTCTGAAATTAGACTAAAGTGATTTTCTTGTAGATCAAAACACAAAAGACCTGCTCTATATTATGATCCACTGCACTGTGACACCCAGGGACCAGAGTGTCATGACAGTGTTCCTAGTTCTGTAATGAGATTCTCACAACATTTACTTCCCCTAATACTTCCTTATTTTTACTAGGATTAAATACCTAACTAACTTGATTGGGGAAATATGTCATCTGTCTAGGAAACATGATATACGTAGGGAAAGAGCCAGAAAGAACGTATGGTAAATAAACTTGTGCACATAAATGCTAAAAATACTTGAGTATTTTACCTAAAATTTTAACTTTATTTTTGTATGTGATGTATGTGTCACTGTGGCCTTTTCTATGTACTCCAAAGAAAGCTATGAAGGGAAAAAGGGAAAACAAAATTGCATATATTAATTACTCTAATGATTTAATATTTTGAAAAAGTCTTCACACTTTAAATGCATGAATCAAAGAACAAACACTTTTATGAAGGCGGATGTGTAAAAGGCCACATCCATTCCCCATGTAATGGTGGTATGATACAGGAAATGGGAATTCATTTGGTCTGATGTGCTGAGAAAAGTACTACTGATTTCTCTGAAGCAATGACACAAGGTCGTGATGTTCCAGCTGCCTTTCCCTCCCTGCAGTTTACTTAACTTGAGAGCACTTTTCTTTGTTCCTGTTTGCACTATTTTGATAAGCAAGTGTTCATAAATTGTATTGAGAAATAGAGAACGTTTTGTAGATACCATGTTAGAGTCTGTCAGAACAGCAGCCTGAAGGGGCACAGAAAAGGAGCCAATGTTTGCGTTCGCTGAACAGAGAAGTAAGCACTTTTATTGTCTATTTGGTACTTTGGGCACAATTGTGAACCTTTTCTTTCTTTCTTGATGTAACTTGTAGAAAAAGTAGCCATTATGCTAGTTACTGTGTAATGAAAATAACGCTCACCCCCTTCTTAAACTTACCCTGGTATGAGAAGTGTTTGAAACGCAAAAAAGCCTGGTTCCTGTCATCCTCAGGTTGAGCTTATATACCTAAGTGCTTTGCCAAATGACTTCTAACGTAATGGATTAAAAAAGTGTTGGTTATTGTCCTTTTCTAACAGTAATAAGTGTGAAAAATTATTTACAGACTCTCATGTTTTCAAATTTACTAGTTTTATAGATGTTTATACTTTGAGCATTTTTAGGTGTGAATCAAATGGAAAATGGACATTAGTAAATTCTTAATTCTCCAACATACACAGATGTATACTTTTTATTAAAAAATGTATATTTTATTCTTATGAACAATGTAAATATTTTGTAAGGCCTCGTTTCTCATGTTTGTTTCATCATACCCAAGTTGTCTAATCACTGGTGATTCTTACTTGAGTAAGCACAGCTCGGTGCAGGTGAATAACCCACATTATTTGAAATACACAGATTCTTTAGCAGTATTTGTTACTGAAAGAATAAAGTGAAATAAAGCACTAAACTGCTTACACTGGGTTTATTTCCATGGAAGCAGTTATCAGAGCTAAAGGTACAGTTTATTAATCAGTAGCTAAAAGAAGTACGTAGCAGAGGTATTATGATCACAATGAAAGCAGATGAGTGTTACCATGAGTAAAAGAAAAAAAAACTACACCAGACTTTAGAAGTAATGAAAATCTTTGATGTATTTAAAAAGGGTGTCAGTAACTTTCTTTTTGCAGTAGAAATCATCACAGACTGTGGTTATACCTAGCTTTTATCAAGCTGCTTCTGGGCTTACACAAGAAGGGAACATTCTTCGCTGCCTTGTTTTTTTAATCAAGGTGTGTAGTTCATTAGCACCTCATGGCCCAAATTAACTCCAAAGCAGTTTATAAGGGCTTCCAACATAAGTCAAAAACATGGGCAAAGTTAAACTACTTCCAGTGGTGTAACATTTGCAGCTAAAGCACGAGATTTATTAATTTGGGTCATCTGAACTCTGAATTCCAGACCTCTGAAATCTGTGATTGCAGATGAAGGAGCAGGGTTGTTTTTAACTACAGTGGTGCATTGCTGTGCTTGCTGGGAGAAACATTCTGTTGGGCAAGATGACAAGTCACCTGCTTCAAAAAAATTAACTAAAAGAGGATGGATAAGGAAAGAGAAGCAGAGAAGTGAAGTGCTCTTTCCAGGTCCCGGAGCAAGGGAGTTGGCCTGACTGCTGGGCTGTGGTAGCACCAAGCAAAAACTGTTACGACTTCAGGTAAACACACACAGGTTTTTGCACACTTCAAGCTTGACCTGTGACTCTGGCTCATTGGCCTCTGTCCTGCTGGGGCTGGGCTCACTCCCATTGGTACAGGCTGCTTCTGGGGCAAAGGGAGCAGCACAGGGCTTGGTTCCTCCTGAATTTTCCCAGTTTCCGAAGACGGTGTGCCATGGAAAGGTTAGTCTGCATCTGCCACTTGGCCAGCCAGCATTTTCATTTTAATACTGCTGCTGCATCAGTAACTTAATTAACATAGAAATCAATGACAAGTACTTACGCATGAGCACTGTTTAGGCCCGATGCACTTACATTTCTTACCATTTTTCCCTTAAACCAAAAGCACCATCTGCTTATGGCCTGGGACATGTGTTACACATTTAAACATTTCTGAAGGAGGAAATAAATTTCATGGCCTGTCAGTGATATTTTTTTGGTGTGGCTCCAAATAAAGACCAAACATCACAGTTTTTGTTGCTAAAAGTCAGAATCACAATTTGGACCCTTTATGGATTGGCTGTTGCTGTGCGTAGGGGACACAGTGGGGTACACAGCACCCAGCTTCATAAAAGTAAGTCAAACTCATTCTGTTGTTGAGAATTATATAAAGTCCTTATTTAGCAAATTAAGCAAGCTTTACACAGTTTTGAAGGAAGAACTATAAGCAGCATTAAAGAACTAAGCTTTGGGAAGACAGCAGATCAGCTGCTGGAGAGAATTCAATTGCCACTCTAATGGACCTTTCCCATTTAGTTCTGAAGGGTTTCAAGATGAGCGTTGACAAAGCACTAGAAAGGGTAATTTTCTGTTGATAGCAAATGAACTTGCAAATGGTGCATAGCATAAGTGGCATTATAAAAGGCTGTTTTCTTGATTTTATTCCTTTATGCTTTTTTCACATTGAAAACTGTTGTGCACTCTTACCATAATAACTGCCAGTAACTAAGTTTTTTAACAGATTTGAAGGGTTAGGGGAGGATACAAAATGAGGTTTTTATTGTGATTACACAGTAATGCAGCACAGACTGTAAGTCCTTCTGGATTTCTATTTGCCAATGCAGAAGGACTGTAATTACCAACAGAACAACAGTTTGTTAGCTTTGCTCCTTTTCAGCATAAACAGAAAAATTTACTCCAAGGTGGCTTTTAAGAAGGTGGAATTTCAGTGATACAAAATAATTATTGCAGAATCTGCTTTTTTCATTATGCTGGCCTCTTACGGGCCCTTTTTTTTTTGTTAGAACAAAGAGCCTTTACTGCATGCTGTGTCTCAGGACTGTCAGTAAGAGTACTCCTCTGGATTTCTATCAAACTTCTCTTTTCAAACATCATGTGCCATAGGTCCCCTTTAACAGATGATCTAGAACAGACAATGATACAAAACCGTGGTGCTTATACCTTGTTAAAACTAGCAAGCCTTGTAAGCACATTCAAATCAAACTTACAAAGTAGGCGGCTGAGATGATTTCACAACTGCACGATTGAGTGTCACCCCATGAGCAGCTGAACTATGTCTGTTTCATTGAGGTGTTTATTTTCATAAACATGATCTGGGTATTTAAAGAGCATCTTGTATCAAGTGAGTGCGAATTACACATGGATGTGGATAATAGGAGGGTGCATTTACCCAGGGCTTGGATTGTGAGCTACTTTGAGGGAAAGGGCTAGGTTCCTGAGATTTCCATCTTGCATTGTCTCCTGTGGCCACTGCTCTGCTTTGTACCTGTTCTGTCTCATACCAGCTTCGCAGCACTGATGACTGAGCCACCAAAGGGTGAACTTGCTGCCACAGATAAGATCCAGACAGGCAGCCCTACACCAGCACAACTTCCTTTCTAAAGAGCAGCAGCAGCCATCAGCAGAACACAGCTACAAGCCTAAAAGGTGCAGGGTGAGCACTGCTGGCAGCAACACAACAGGCCAGAGTGATAGGAAAGGGCCAGGACAGCCCAAGTGGGCAGCCAAGAACATCCTGCAACAGCAGAACATCACAGCCTGGGCAGGGGTGAGTCTGTTCCCCTCTCTGAGCAGCAAACCGATAGCAGGCAGGAAGAGAGCAGCTCTCTTGACCCTGGCCCAAACACTCACAATAAAGATGAGTTTGCTGGGGCAATAGCCAACACTCCCCTCTTCCAGCCCTGGGGACCCCTTCCACAGCTCCCATCTTCAACCAGGGCTTCTCCTACCACACAGAATCAGTGCCTTTATACCCCACGAGTCTCACCTTGCAGGAGCAGTTCTGTTTCTGTGCACTTAATCATGAGCCTTCCTCTGTATTGCTGTACTTAGAAAGGATGACTTGCTAAGGTACAGTTATCCCAGGGGAGGTGGGAGGAGAAGGCTCCTGCTTTAAGTCCTGCTGTGCCCATGGGCACACCCTGGCAAGACACTACCAGGAACAGCTGAGTTATTGTCAGTTGGCCTCATGCTGCAACAGGAGTAAGAAGCAAGGCAGGTAAGTTGCTCCTATGAAGGTGTTTGCTTCACTAGTTGACTTGCAATACTGACAGGCTGTCACGAGTTCATGGAGTCACTAGGGATTCACAGGTCTTTGCTTTTACAGGAAGCACAAGTGTTTGTACAGTAATCCTGAGCCATCATGCCATTTTCAGTAGGCCTGAAGTGCTGCTCTGCCAGGGTGCAGCACCTGGTGGCTGTAGGAGGCCATGGACGTGTCTCTGGGTGCAGTGTTACCCGGGGATAGGGCTGGGCTCCCTACCAGCCAGCTGTGCAGCACAACCAGCCAGGCTGCCCGAGCCATGGGGCAGCAGATTGTAGCACATGTCTGGCAAGAACCAGGAACTACCCAATATAGCGTTTTTGCTCTTGGTTGCATCCAACCCTGAACACTGGTGCAGAGTCCAGGTATGCTGTGAGACAAAGTCTCCCTGATGGGGTTTAGAAGGCTGGCCAGCGTGTGGCTGTGGTTGAAGAGCAGCACTTGACAGGTGGATAGATACATCAATTTTATTGGTGATCAAGTTCACAGCAATCACCTCTGTGCTGGCAGTGGCAAGGGCCAAAGTGTATATCTAATTGGAGCATTAGGAATCTCTGGCATAAAATGTGGGCTAGAGTTCAGCAAATTTGCAATCCAGATTTAGGAGCTTATGTTTTTGCAGTGGAGGTTGGAATTCATGTGTGAGGAATTTGCTTAAATGCCCAAGGGGAGCATCTCATTTTGAAATCCGTGCATGGATTCACAATACAATGTGCAGCCTACACAGGGAAAGGCTGGGTGTTTTAGAGCAAGGTGTAAGTAAATAGTTGAAGTTTACAGTCAAACAGGTTTAATATCTAGATATGTGTGCTTGTGCCATAACTTACCAGGGGCTGTGATTCTGTGTATAAACCACTTCATGTTTATGGTGTAGGTGGTGATCATAAATTGTACCCTCTTCCAAAGCCTTACACCCACCCCTTGGCATGAAACTCTTTCATATGAAATGAATGTTAGACCATATAAACTTGAATTAACTATCAGGGGAATACCAGGGTGGAGGTGAACAGGGACTGCACCACACTGGCACAGTGATAGAGGTGAAGTAACAAGGGAATGAGAGAACGCTGTGAGTCAGCCATTGACTTGGGCAGTTATTAACTGCAGCCAGTTGTAAATGAATTCATGCATGTTGTCATGGTCATGCTGGGCCTGCAGCAGTGCATGTTTGTTGTCATGATAGTGATGCATCAGATGAAGCAAGTGGAGCTTGAAAATTCAACAGCTGCAAACAAGGACGCCCAGCTGGCTACCACCTGCTTTAACCCATGGTGACTGGGGTTGGCCGCACTGTTCAGCACCCAGAAAACATTCAGCTGCAGGTAGTCGGGGCCCAGCAACAGTGTGCAGGGCAGATGGGGGTATGTGGGCTCTGGTGGGATGCCTTGGTGCTTCATCGCACAAGGGCTGTACAGGACAGTAGGTTGGCCAAGCAGCCTATGTCTGGGTTTGACACCCTCCTCCACCCAAACAAGCAGTAGCTGCCTGTTGTGGCTTAAGGCTTCCTAAGCAGAAACGAGGCAGAGCTGATGTGTCTCTGAAAGTACACAGAAAGTAGTGTAGCAGTTGACGAAAGAAAAGCAATTGCTGA